GCATAATAGACTTTCCAGTGTTAAAAGAGGAAATTACCAATGTGCTCGATTCTTGATTTTAGGTACATTTTAGGACAAACACTCGATTCCTAAATACTGCAAGAGGAGAAAAGGAAAGGTTAAAAATAGGATATGTGCCACAACTGTGGGGTCCTCAGTACAAAACTGCAGATGAAAGTATTCAGGAATCTGTGGTGGCTTCTAGCTTGGCTTCCAGCCAAACAAGAGGGTCTACAACCTTACACGTGCATTTGCCCTGGCAGTTGAAAGTTCATATTCCTCATTAGGAGTTTTGCCTCTGTGACATAGAGTGCCCCATGACAGACAACCCATTTTATTTTTGCCTGATGGCCCATTGACACACGGAGTTCCCATGAGTTATGATGTTAATCTTAGGTAAGATTTTTGGTATGTGTGTGTGTGTGTGGGGGGTGCTTTTTGCTTCACTCCTTGTGGGCTTTTGGGAGTTGCAGCCCTAGGGGGAGAGAAGGAGTGAGTTAGTAGGGAGAGAAAAATGGAAGCAGAGCTTTGACCTTCCAGAGAGGAGCCCCTGCTGACACGGTCAGTCTGACCCATTGAATGGCCTGAATACGATAAATACCGCTTTATCCCGCCTTGAAAGGCAGGAGATAGCACAGTCTAAATGCCTGGGCATGCTTAAATAGGCGACTGGGGATGTTTGAGTTGAGCGTGTTTGAAATCTGAGCTCTCTGACAGCCTGGGAGCTGCCACAGGTCACCTGCCTTGCTCCGTAGGGACAGGCCCAGGTCTCACAAGAAATTGTCCATAGACGAATTGTAGTACAAATTCCTTTCTTTGTTGGTTGGCCTCTTTCACTAGACCATGGCCTATAAAATTTTGTAAAAACAATTCTTAAATATTATTTGAAAGGGCAAATGGCCCACGCTGAAAGGTTTGACAGTTTGACATACAGTGCATGGTTTTGATAGCTCGGAAACTGCAAAGTGTGGCCAAGATTCTCCCCCTGCTTATTAGAAGCTGGGTGTTTTTTAAATAGTGTCTTGTTGCTGTGCAGAGTTCCTTCGCTCCCTGAAATCTGACAGGCAATGAGTCTGCTTCAGTGATCTTAAAATCCTTTTAGACTAATTTGAGAGAGAGAGAGAGAAAGCAGAAAAATTAGCTAGCACCTTTAAATCCAGTGTCCAAGAACGCAGAACCAGGTATTGCCAATTAAAGAGCCATTCGGAGAATCATATCAAAAAATTGCCCTCAACTCATCTGATAGCAGGGAGAGAGAGAGAGAGAGAGAGAGGGAGAGAGAGACCTGGTGTCACTTCAGTGAGGGGAAGAAAGGGACCTGAGTCCTGAGTGGCGGGCTTTATGGGATCCAAAGAAGTGGCCAGGAGTGGATTTCTGCATTAGAACTATGTGTTTGTGCAGCCAGTGTGTACCCAGGGCCTGCTGGCTGCCTCCGCATAGCCAAAGGCCATTTCCAGGAGCCTCTGGCCCCTCATTCACTGGCCTACTAGTTAATTGCCACACGGACTTCATGACACATGGGCAGATAATATGACATTTTCGGTTTCTGTCACTAGCAAACGCCACAACGTTGCTTGCACTAGTTGCTAAGAAGCTGTCAGAAACCATTAGCAGTTGGCTAAAGTTGCCCTATGGCATTTCCTCATAGCATCAGCAAAAAACGAGCATAAATCACCCAATGGAGCCTACTGCTATCCTAATGAGGCTGTAAGCTTGTTTATGGACTAGCATCATTTTTATGATTATTTCCACCTTTTCAGTTTGCCTTCATTTGGTGGCAGAAGAAGTCAGCTCCAGGAATGAAGTCACTGCTGACATTTTACAAATGTGGTTCAGAGCTGCTGCCTGCTGCCGTGTGGTCGGCCGGCGGTTCTCCAAGTTTGTTTAGTGATCTTAAAAATAAGAAAAGGAAATAAATCCTCCAGAGACCGCATAGAGGTGACTGTATCAAATTGCAGAGGGAATGGAAATACTAAAGGTACAATTGACCATTTAGACTCTCCTCTGAGGTCGAGACGTTCTGAGATCAATTTTCAATTTTCGAAAGTGGAAGAGGTTAAACAATTTATTAAAATCTATGAAAGTGTTTGCTTTTAGAATAGTCTGTTTTATTATGCTCTTCTCCTTCCCCATCTTCTCCATTTCCCTAACTGTGTCGGAAAGGAGCAGGGTTTATTGTTTTAGGCTTTTCTGAACATGCACCAGTATTTACACTGGATTGAAAGCATTTGCTTCCAATGAAAATCTTGTCTTAGATTACAACCCAGCAGTGTAATTTCCCTCCCAGATGGGAGTAAAGTAGCTGTATTTGCCTAAAAACAGTAGGAAGAACAAACTGTGCATTAAGCCAAGGCTGTTTTTGGCTTGAGCTAATGATGTAATAGAAACCTTTTATTCGGGAGAGGTCACTGCCAGGGACTGAAGGGGGTGATCTGGCTCCTGCTTGAAAGGTTTCTCCATTGTATCTACATAAGTCTTCACTTATAAAATTCTGTTCCTAATGCTTCTGCTTTCATACAGCAGAAATAAACAGGAAAGGTTCTGGTGAGTGTTACACATGGAATGCAGAAAGCCTTCCTCTCCTAATGGAGTATATAATTCAGGTGCCCTCAAGGCACGCTTTCAGGAATTCTTTTGCCTGAGGTAATGGAAGCTAAGGCTGCTTTAAGGCCTTGATTATCTATTGATGCACAAAGCTGGAAAAAAGTCATCTCCACTGGATTATAGTAGATATTTCCATAAATTATCAATGAATTTTCTTCTAGTCAGGCACTAGGCATTGCTTACTAAATTAATCTGAAGGGGTTTGAGATGGATAAGAAGGCTATTTTTTTTTTTAAGGTGGAAAACAATCATGGAGAGGTGAGAAAAAAACAGTAATGTTAGGTTAGAAGCATTTCATTTTTAATCAATGATGAAGTAATATATTTCTTTTCCTTGGTTACCTTTTACATATTGAAAGTGGATTCGCCCATGGAAATTTAAAATCTTTGGACTTGTTTTCTTTTCTCATGTTTCTTTAATGAATTGTTATTTTATACAGTGAATTGCTTCTCTGTATAAAAAGCCTCTTTAAATACTGGACTTTCAAAGAATTTATTAGGCAAACCCAAGGGGGTTTCTCATAAAACACTCAGTTATGCAAATAAAGACTAGGGTAGAGTAGAAGGATGTGGGTGTCTGGTCCTCTTCAGGCGCCAACAGCTCCATGTTACAGCCACGTGACCTTGAACCAGTCACTAAACGTGGGACTTGGTTCACTGATGCAATGATGACTTTAGAATTGGGGGTCTTCATGATTTTTCCCAGTCAGAGCATAGGCTGTGATTCTGTGGAATGTACATTAACAATGTACATTAAAGATTTAAAATATAATACAATTATGGATTTTTAAACTAATCTGAGCTTAAACTCAGAGAAAGCTCTGAAAAAATTTTGTATTTGTGGCATAAACTGTAATAATAGTAGCAATGTTATAATTAGTCTGTTCCTCACCTAACCAAGCTTCTCACACTTAGCTCCGTAAGTCAGGGCAATTGAAAAATAAAACTAGAGGGCACTTTTTTTTTCAGGGGGTGGGTGGATGTTCTGAGGCAGCTGTTAAGAACAATCGATGAGTTACAATATAACTCCTGTAGATTAGGTTGAGTAACTGAAGTCAAAATAGAGAATTCTTTGTGTATGTAGGACCTTAAAAATAGAAATGAGAAATACAGAAATCCATGAACCTGAAAGTCCATGTAAATGAATCTGAAGCTATTTCCAATGTAAAGTCACTGGGAAACTTGTCTTACCAAAGTACCTCATTCTTTGGGGGCATGTAGATTGCTCTCCAATGACTTATTAAGCCAGTGAATGTGCTCCTGAGTGTATCTGTTACCTTATTGCTAAGCCAAGCTGCTGTAGTTCTTCTTTCTGGGCACAAATCATCCTGTTCATTGCTAAGAACTAGTAGTAGGTCTAGTGGAGAGCGTGGCCCCAGGAAGCTTCATGGAAGAGAAGGTCTAACAGAAGCTGAGCTACTTACTAATGTATGGGTTGAGGCCATTGTTGTTTCCCCTTTTGATTTTGGTGCCAAGAAGAAATGCCTTCTTCCCATTTGGACCTTGTGACTTATTTTGGATGCTGTGATTATATGGGTGGAAATTTCATTTTTTTCTTATCAAATATGGCACTACAAAGGAATACCATTTTTCATTTCACTGTTTCACAGAGCCAAAATATTTTCTAGAAAAAAGCTATTTAAATATTATAACAAAAAATAGTAAAAAAATGATCCAATACAAAAGAATATGTTACTAGGTGACTTCGGTGACAAAAATTTAAATCTAGACTTTTAGACACTGCCTGTGTTATTAGTGCAATATAATTTCAAATTACTGTTTATTTAGCATTACTTTATTTTATTTAAATAGTAATTGTTTTCGGATTAAAGTACTGTGACAAGGTTTTTCCCTCACTAAACTTGATGCTCCTCCTATTATAAGAAAATTTATATTCTATTTGAAGCATTCCTATGTCAAACTGCTTATATGATGGATCATCTACATTTCTCCACCTAGTTTGAATAGTCTCAAGCTAAATCACTGATGGAAATAGTTGATATCTTAAATGCACCTTCTTACAAGTTGATATCAATGACTATATGTGGGAGTTGAATACCCAGTCAGTGATAGCGTCACTGATAGCTTCCCAGTAGTTATATGTAATGTGGCTCAGTTATACATATTGGAATAATTACCATGGCAACAAAGCCTCCAAAGCGATTGGATATTTCCCTCTATTCACTTTAACCTTCAGCACTGTGCTTTGGAAGAATTCCTTTAGACTTTTGAGGCTAGGTCTTGTTCTTTCTCTTTGTCTTGGAAAAAAAAAAAGTACCAAAGAAACTATTAATCATTTAAATTGCTCTTTTGGTTTTGTTTATATCCAAAGGCATTCTATTTGAATAAAGCATGTCAAGTTAGCATCAGTCAAAATTTGATTCACTATGTTTGCAGGTGATGGCTTGGACAACAGTGTAGCTTCCCCCAGCACAGGTGACGATGATGACCCTGATAAGGACAAAAAGCGTCACAAAAAGCGTGGCATCTTTCCCAAAGTAGCCACAAATATCATGAGGGCGTGGCTGTTCCAGCATCTAACAGTAAGTGGATTCTAAATGACCTATGTAAACTAAATATGGGCAATGACCAGTTTTGATAGAGGAAAAAAAATGATCCCTCTGGACCTGGAATATTTCATAATTCACTGTGTTCTCACAGTTTTTTTTCCCCCCAAAGTATTAGTACTTGTTTCCTAGCTCTATACGCCAAAGAAGGAGTTTTGTTTGAAGTTCTCTATTGTAATTTTGTTAACTTTCATAAGTTATAAGCTTTAGGAGTTTGTGTGCACTTGTGATTTTAAGTATGTATGTTAATGATGTTGCTTTTTCTAAGTGTAATCCTAAAGTGCTTAGAAACAACCACTAATAAAAAGAAACTAAGACCACCTCAGAGAGAAAGACTTAATATCCTTAGCGAGTTCTTTAGTGGACCTTAATAGTGAATGGTCCACAAAAACTTCAATCAAGTTGCACTGGCAAGGTGATCGCATAATTTTCTGTTATGTGGCTTGAATATACCCGATTCCATTACAAAATATCCATGTGAGTCAGAGCTCCTCAGAGAAAGTTGTCCCTGCATTTAGAACTGTAAAGGAAAACAGCAATATAAAGTTGTTCTTCCTGTGTAGTCCCTTGTGACTTTTCAAGCAGAGTAACAGTTTACATTGTCTGTGTGAGTATTGCTGTTTTCACTGCAGGAATTCTCCTGGAGATGTGAGAAACTGCAGATTTGGGCTTTATGCCACGGGGGGATTTGTTTTGTTTGGTTATTGTTCTGAATGAATTTCATATTTGAAATATTTATAATCATAATATTTTGGTGGATATTTTTGTAAGTGCATACAGATTTAATGGCATCTAAAGAATATAAAATGAAAATTTATGGATAAAATAATATTTTAAAAATCAGCAAAATGGTTGACCAGGAAATTTTCAATATTAGAAACAAATAGGTTGTAGCCTAGCTACGGAGATGAATGAATGTGAGAAACTCTTGACTTTTTTTAATGTCAGGAGAAACATTTTTATGTTACTATTTTAGCTTGGTTTGCTTTACTTAACCCCGCCCCATAACAGGGTTAATTCTTCCTTGCAACAAACATTTCTGTAGACAGTTGGCCCTCACTCCTTTGCCCATTCTCCCAGGCATGTTATTTAGTGAGTTGTCCCAGTAGAGAGACAAACTCAGGGAATGTTTGAAGGCCACCATGGCTCTGCTCCTTTGGATAGAGGCTCTGCCTTCAATAACACTTGAAGGTATAAGTTAATCTGTATTTTCCAGTATTGGTGAATAAAATAAGACCTGAGAAAAGCAACAAGGGGTGGGGGGGGAGGGAGAGAGAGAGAGAGAGAGAGAGAGAGAGAAAGAGAAAATAGACTGCTGAGCATTTTGTTGAACTTT